CGAATACCAACGCACACAAAAAGAAGAAAAGAACCGTCACCACCACCAGAACCCCAAAAACCGAGCCAGAGACCGACTCATCTGAGGAGGAGCGGATCGAGAGAGCTGAAAGGGAGAGAACCTTCCACGACGCCACCAAAGAAGAAATGAACAACGCGCATGTGCGAAACTACGTAGACGACCCAGAAGGACTTGAACTGGCCAGAGAACCGCGCAGACTCATTGCAAGCATCCCAATGCCGTTCTGTAATTTCCTGCACTTGAGAGATCACGGACTGCCCCAGGTTGTAAGTAATGGACAGAATAATGTAGGTAACTTACCCAGTGACTTCCCAAAACTTAGAATTGATGGCATTAATTTACAAGAGTGGTATCAACAGCTTCAGGTTATTTTCATGAAAGAAAATTTACTATTCTTTATAACTAGCCCTCCAAGAAGACCTTGGACTTTAAAAATAGATTGTTTACATCATAGAGCATTTTTCATAATAATATCTAGCGTGTCTCCTGCAATGTATCATAGCATCAAACCAAACCTAACTGTATCAGAAATAATTCAATGCATGTTTAATCTATTTCACAGCGATAGCGTAGCTACAACCACAAGAATGTCTAAGGATTTCTTTTCCTCTAGAGTAAAACCAGGGGTTTCTATAAGTGAGCATTTGATAAATCTAAACAAAATAAGAGCTGAGCTACAATTGAGGGGAGAAGTGATTTCAGATCAAACAATGAAAAGTGTTATTATCAATTCACTTGATCCATCATGGGATAGCTTTATGTCACACTTAGATACCATTAATTTGGGATATTTATCCATAGAAAGTCTATCTAACAAATTGATAGCAGAAGACAATTCAAGAAAAAATCGATCCAGTAACCAAACAGACCACAAACCTTTTAGGAAAGTAGTCTTTCAAGATAAACATAATGAGGCCTTTAGATGCTACAATTGTGGATCCAGGGAACATAGTAGAAGAGACTGCCCCAAAGTCTCAAGAGAGAGACATAGACCAGAATATAGGAGCAAATATAATTACAGACAATCTTCCACAGATAGACACAAATATAGAAGCCCACCAAATTACAAAGAAGGTAGAGGGGGGTAGAGAAAATTCAAAAGAGAGGAAATCTGGGTCACTGAATGGGCTAAATAAACAAGACAGCACCAGAACACAGCAGGATGAGAATAACAATTGGCTTATTGATTCTGGTGCAACAAATCACACCACCAACAACAAAAGTATATTATCTTCATTTATAGAAGATAAGTTTGTGATAAAGGTAGCTAATCAAGAAAAGGTTCAAGTACTAGGCAAAGGAAATGTGACCTTGCCTGGTCTAGGGAAAATAGAGGGGGTATTATTAATCCCAGAAATACCTCACAACATACTAAGTGCCATAAAATTAAGCAGAGAATCTGATATCAATATAGTTTTCTCAAAGGGGAAAGCAACTATAGAAAAGAACAAAACAAATGTAGGTACTGTAATGATAAAAGGAGGTCTACCCTATCTGATAACTAAAGAAAGATGTTTACATAACATTGATTCAAATATGGAAGATTGTATTGAAGCAGATGATGAAAATGTCAGTAACAGTGACAATGATGAGTGTAGAATAGCTCATGATCACAAAAACACATACAAAGAAAAGAAACCAAAAATAGGTAAACCAATTCATGATGAGTGTGCTCACATCTTACACAGGAAGTTAGGACATGCAAGCTTTCCTGTAGTACAAAAAATGACTGAACACGCAGAAGGTGTCAAAATAAAAAATTGTGAAAATTATTTGGAATGCTCAGTATGTAAGTCCACCAAACTAAAAACCAGTCCCAGACCAAAAAAATCTAACAGATCAACTAACAATATTTTTGATTTGGTACATATGGACTTAGTTGGTCCATTAAGTCCCTCAATTACCTATAGAAAACGTTACTTCCTAACAATAGTGGATGACTACAGCCGATATGGTTTTGTTTACACATTAAAGCACAAGGATGAAACATTTCAGAAATTTAAGGAATTCTACAAACGCATAGAAACACAACATAATATCGGAATAAAGCAAATTATGACAGATAGGGGATGTGAGTTCATGTCTAAAGAATTCTCCCAATGGTTAAAGGATAGAGGAATGTTACATTTCACGTCCAATCCTTTTTCTGCATTTCAAAATGGAGTTGCAGAGAGGAAAAATTCCACACTACAAACCATGATTAGGTGCACATTAGAGGATGCTGGTTTAGGCAAACAATTTTGGTCAGAGGCATTACATTATTCGAATTACACTCAAAATAGAACCTGGTCCAGTATTGTGAATAAGACACCATATGAGGTGATGTACAATAGAAAACCCAAATTATCACACATGCACATATTTGGAGTCACTGCAGACGTACACATACCTAAACAATTGAGGAGAAAGGGAGAAAACGTATCCAGGAGATTAAGATTCATGGGATACGAAACTGGAACCAAAGGGTACAGATTTATTGATAGTAATAACAAATTTATAGTATCCAGAACAGCTGTGTTCCATGAACAGGCCAATTGGTCAAAATTGCACCTTAATGAAATATTTCCTAATAAATGTAAAGATACGATATCTTGCGAGGAAGGAACAACAGAAAATCAAAATATTAACAAAAGTAAGAACAAAACCAAAACTTGGACTAATAGTCAGCATAAAATAAAGACAGACACATTAACAAAAAAGGAAGCTAGATATTTGCATGATAACCATAGCAAGCCTGAAAGAACTATTAGAAACAATAGAAACCAAATACCAAATAAATACAAAGATTACATAATGCATATGAATGGAGAACAAATAACACCTAATACATATGAAGAAGTATTGAAACTTCCACATGAAGAAAGAGAAAAATGGGAACTAGCTATGGAAAAAGAGATGGAAAGTTTACAAGGATTAAATGTATTCACACCTGCGATCGCACCTAAGGATAAAACAATTATAGGTACCAGGTGGATTTATAAAATTAAGAACTTAGAAGGAGGCAATACCTTATACAAGGCTAGACTAGTTGCACAAGGCTATGCACAAAAATATCCAGAAGACTATACTGATACATATTCACCCACAGTGAGAACAGAGAGTGTCAAAACAGCCCTTGTAGTAGCATCTGCACTCAATCTGGACGTATTCCAATATGACATACAGACCGCATACTTACATGCAAAATTAGATAAGGAAATATATGTAAGAGCACCACACAGTCAATACACTAATAAGAACGAAATTTGGTTATTAAATAAGAGTCTGTACGGATTAAAGCAATCCGGCAAAAGATGGTACGATTGCTTAGTAAAAGTACTTAAGACCATGGATTTCAACGCCACCACTGCTGATAACTGTTTCTTTGTAAAAAAGAGTAATGATCATATTGAATTTGTATTAATTTACGTGGACGATATTTTATACATTGGAAAGCATAAAGAGAGCAGGGAAATCTTTGTAAATAAGTTAAATGAACACTTCTCACTGAAATCTCTGGGTAAAGTGAATAAATACCTTGGTGTGCAAATTAACAAAACTAAAAGGGGATTCAAACTTACACAGAAAGATAAAATCATCGAACTCCTAAACAAATGTAACTTAAATAATGCTAAAACCTGTGACACCCCTATGCAAACTGATTTTCTTAGAAACACTGATGAATCTTCCCCTGAGTTTAAAGACAACACATTTTACAGATCAGTTATAGGTTCACTCCTTTATATATCTAATTGGACTAGGCCAGATATTGCATTACCTCTCAATCTATTGTCAAGATATGTTAGTAAACCAACCTTGTATCATTGGGAAGCTGTCAAAAGAATTCTAAGATATCTGAAGGGTACATTAGATTTTTGTTTAATGTTGGAACCCAATAATGACAGAGAACCAAAAATTACTTGTTATGCTGATGCAGATTGGGCTGGTGATACATCATGCAGAAAGAGTACTTCTGGTTATGTTTTTCTATTGAATGATTGTCCAGTTTACTGGTATACTGGTAAACAAGAACTAGTAGCCACTTCTACTACAGAAGCGGAATATGTTTGTTTGTCCAAAGCTGCAAATAACCTTGTATGGTTCAATGATCTGATCACTGATGTTTGGAAGAAACCCACCTTACCATTTATTATGCATGAAGACAATAAAGCGGCCATTGAAATATCCAGATCCGATGCAATTGGACAAAGGTCCAGGCATATTGATATAAAGTTTAAGCATGTGAGACAACTGTCTCAAGACGGATTCATTAAAGCAATACATTGCGATACTTCTGAACAATTAGCTGACATATTAACAAAACCCTTACCTTCTAAACAACACAAATATTTAACTTCTAAATTATATGTATTATATTGTCCTGAATCAGAATGTAATTGGTGTTGTGTAACGAACCGGCATTTAGAGGGGGATTTGTCAGATGTAAATGCCTTATTCTCCAATGTGTAAATAATGTATATATGGAACATCAGAGGTTAACTTATTCTTTGGACTTTAATGTATTCATAACTTACCACTCCCATTCCTAGCTCCACCCCTTGTATATATAAGGAGCCACCCTCACCATTCTCGTTGCTTCTACCTTGAATATTCAGTGAATATAGAATGCCTATCATAATTAAAAAGAAATATATTTAAAGCTTTAACTTCTATTATCTTTATTGAGTCTGATCCTGGAAATATTGCAACAAGCACTATACAAATTTATGGAGTAAATACCCTGTTTCCCCCAAAATAAGACATCCCCTGATAATAAGCCCAATTGGGCTTTTGAGTACATGGTAATAAGGCTAAGCGCTTATTTCAGGGTTCAAAAAAATATAAGACAAGGTCTTATTTTTGGGGAAACACAGTAGATAAATAATCCCACCAAAATGTCCTTACCACATGTTTATTATAAGGTAATAATGCCATGGGAGAACTATGTGACATCTGGTGAGCCACAAAATACCCATATTATTAGATGGGGTGGAGGGACATCCTAAGTGGTCATTTGGGAACTTGGGATATGAAGACTTAAAGAGTTTAGCCAAAAGTCCAGCTTTAATTGTGTTACAATTGAAAATACCTAACTTGTTCTCTGTAAATATGTATATTTGTATATATGTTATTGTGTGATGTCATTATGATCCTTTTCATTGGTTCCTACTTACCTTTTGCCCTGCCTCCTCTGTATATAAGTCGTTGCTCCTGTCAGAACCTCAGCTGTCCAAATGTAATCCTGAGAAAGACAAGAAATAAATACCTTTGTTATAAGAAAGGCTTCAGTCTTTTATATTGGGTCTGACCTGAATAATTAAACAAGTAACGAATTGGTAGCAAGAGGATAGTTTGGTAGGCCCAACCAAAAATAAAAATGCAAGAATCACAAAAAGACAAAGAAGACGTGCCACTAGATATATAACAAAAAGAATGGCAGCCCAGCTGACTCCTGACAAAAACACACTAATTGAAGACATGAAGAAACACATACCATTACAAGAAAATGAACTGCTAACACAATACAAACAGCCACTAGCTGGAACAGAAGAAACCCCCTCAACCTCAAACAAAGAAGGTGAAGTAAAAAGAAAAATACTAGAATTAATAGAAACAACTACAGATAAATCAAATCTGCTTGTGAAAATCCGCAGCATGATAAACAATCACGGAACAGCAGCAGATAACGAACATAATAAACAAGAAAAATCCAAGGTAAGAAAGTCAACCCCTGACTACAAAAACAACACTGAAGATGGCGATAGTTTCCCACCTTTTTCATGGCGGCCATCTTATCCACCTAATACTCCCAAATGGCCGACCAATCATTAAAGGAATCCCAAATTTTAAACTACAAAACAGGAAACAAAACCTACCAAGAAGATGCCTACCCGAGTCCAGAAATAAATAAAAAACAACTATTTAACCAATACAATACTCAACCTACTGAACTTGAAATAGATAATGCCATGCAGGTGTTAACTGCAGCATTCGGGACTAAACTAAAAATACCAAACAAACAATCAGAAAATGAAAAAGAAAATTCTAAACTAATACCTACCAAAAGTCAAAAAGAAATAAACTATCTAAAAGAAGAACTAGTCACCCGAGAAAAGACGCACTGGCAACCATACTTACCTGCTGAAGAACACCTTGCTGAGCGACCCGACTTCATCGCCAATGACGGCCTGCTTCGAGCTCCGCTTCCTGACCGCATCGAAGATCATGGCCGACAAGCCTCCGGTGGATTTTTCTTCGATCGCTGCAACTTCGGAGACTTCCCGACCAGCAGGACAGCATCCCGGGCATTCTTCAGTCACCAGAGGCCCTCTGGAAACAAAGCCAAAGAACAGAAGGCCGACTGGGACTTCATCCCGGGAGCTGCAGGCACAGGATCCTCCCTCGTCGACTGCTGGGGAAGAATGAGGACTGAGCATGCGCAGAACGAACCTGCAAAGAAAAAAGAAGAAGACATAAATACAAGTCAGCACAGATCCAGCCAGAACATAGAGATAAGTAAATACAGACATGCATCTACCATACCTAAGCCTTATTGCGAGTATGCTAAGGTCTTAAACCATGGACAGCTCCTGAACATAAATAACTTCTCACAACACTCAGGAACACTATCTACAGACTTTATAAAATTAAAATTAGATGGAAGCAACTTAATGGAATGGAGCCAGTGTTTACAAATTATATATTTGAGAGAAAATATTTTATTCTTTATTGATAATCCACCTGACAAGCCTTGGATTTATGTAATAGACTGCCTCCATCATAAGGCTTATTATTTATTAATTGCTTCTATTTCCCCAAGTATCCTTCCTAGTATTGAGCATAATCTAACCGTATCTGAAACATATCAAAAATTATTTAATTTGTTTTATAGCAAAAGTGTAGCCACAACCATTAAAATTTCAAGAGATTTCTATTCTGCCAGACTAAAACATGATACATCTATGAGCAAACATATCCTAAATCTGAATGCAACCAGAGCAGATCTCATCCAAAGGGGAGAAAATATTTCTGATAACACTATGAAAAGCATTATAATCAATTCATTAGACCACAGCTGGGATAACTATATTACTTTAATTGATAACTTAAGTTTAGAACAAATTACCTTAGAAAACCTTACCAATAAACTTATTGCTGAAGACAGACTTAGAAAGGAACGATTTGTATATCAAAGGGAAGGTAGAAATAAAAAAAGAACAGATTTTAGAGTCAGAAACAGATACCCACATGAATGCTCAATATGTGGATCTGAAAGACATCAAAAAAGAGACTGCCCCAAGAATGCAGAATATAGTGATACATACCATCACAAAGATAGAAGAATACATTTCCTAGATAGAACTTCTCCTGACTACAGATATAAACGCAGGGAATCACCACATTCTAAAGAAAAACAAATATACAGAAACAACCCTAGGGAAAACAAAAAAGGATCACTATATGGAATAAATGACAGTGATACATCAACATCAGATTCACTCAACACATGGCTCTTCGATTCTGGAGCCACATGTCACACAACTCACAATAGAAAAATATTAAACAACTTCACAGAAAAGGAATATTACATAAAAGTAGCAAACCAAAACGAAGTCCTAGTAAGAGGAGTAGGTGACACGCATATAAAAGGTATAGGAAAAATAGAGGGGGTGCTATTTATACCCGAAATTCCAAATAATATATTGGCAACTCTAAAACTAAGCATAGAAAATGAAGTAGAGACCACATTCAAAAGTGGAAAAGTATTTATGACTAAAAACAACAGAAACATTGGCAAACTATTCACAAATGAAGGACTAACATATCTATTACCACAAAATAACGAATTAATCTACGCAAACTATCAATTAAAAAACAAAGAGGCAGAGCCAGATAGTCATGAAGGGGGTAATAATAATATACCAACTGTTGAAACTAATATATCAGAAAATTTACACAATGGTAAACCTATACACGACAACTGTACCCATTTACTCCACAAAAAGCTAGGACATGCAAGTTTTCCTGTCATACGGAAAATGTTAGAATGTTCCGAAGACTTAAAAATAAAAAATTGTAAAAATTATTTGGAATGCTCCGTATGCAATTCATCCAAACTCAAAAACAAACCTAAGCCCAAAAAAGCCACTCGCACCACACATTCAATTTTTCAGCTAGTTCATATGGATATTGTAGGCCCAATGAAACCTTCAATTAAATATAGGAAAAGATACTTGCTCACCATAGTCGATGATTACAGCAGGTTTGGGTTTGTGTACACCCTTAATCATAAAAGTGAAGTTTTCAAAAAATTTAAGGAATTCTTTAAAATGGTAGAAACACTACATAATATTAAAATTAAACAAATAATGACCGACAGAGGGTCGGAATTTTTATCCAACGAATTTTCAAATTGGCTAAAATTACAAGGAATATTACACTTTAAATCTTGTCCCTTCTCCCCCTTTCAAAATGGAGTCTCAGAGAGAAAAAATGGTTTGCTACAAACCATGGTTAAATGTGTGTTAGACGATGCTGGTTTAAGCCAATCATTCTGGGCTGAAGCCCTTACTTATTCCAATTATACTCTAAACCGCTTATGGTCAAGTACACTCAACAAAACTCCATATGAACTCATGTATGGCAAAAAACCAAAAATTGGACATTTACACATATTTGGCGTAACTGCTGATGTATATATACCCACACAATTGAGGCGCAAAGGAGAGAAAGTATCCAAAAAACTAATATTTATGGGGTACGAATCAGGAACCAAGGGATATCGCTTCATTGATAAAAATAACCATTTCATTGTATCCAGATCTGCAGTGTTTCATGAACATGCGAATTGGTCAAAAATACACCTCAACGAGATATATCCAGAATCAAAAAACACTACACACACACACACAGAACATTATTCAAAAGATACCAACCCCAAAATTATAACAACAAACAAACTCAAATACCCAAAAATAATTAATGATGAATGGAAAAAAGGACATCCCACGTTGAAAGTAGACCAATTAACTGAAAAAGAAACTAAATATATGCATAGCAATGAACAACCTCCAAATAGACCCATTAGATCTAATAGGGGTACAATTCCTAAAAGATTAGATGATTACGTACTGTCTATCCATGCAAAATATCTGACTCCCAATACATATGATGATATACTCAAATTACCTCTAGAAGAAAAAAATAAGTGGGAGGAAGCAATGAAAAAGGAGATGGATAGTTTGAAGGAACTAAATGTATACTCACCAACAGATCTACCCACAGAAAAGTCCCCCATTGGCAGTAAATGGATATTTAAAATCAAAGAGCTAGAAGATGGTAAATTCCTATATAAAGCTAGGTTAGTAGCTCAAGGGTTTGCCCAAAGATTTCCTGATGACTATGGGGACACATACTCTCCAACCGTTAGATCAGAAAGTGTGAAAACAGCATTGGTACTAGCTTCCATCTTAAATTTAGACGTATATCAGTTTGATGTACAAACTGCTTATCTACATGCTGATCCTGATAAAGAAATTTATGTAAAAGCACCCCCAGAAAAGAATACAAAAAAAGGAGAGATTTGGCTATTGAATAAGAGTCTTTACGGATTGAAACAGTCTGGCAAACGGTGGTATGAATGTCTATCAAAAATACTTAAAGATATGGGTTTTATAGCTACTTCATCTGATTTATGTTTTTTCACTAAAAGAAATAATAATTCTATTGAATATGTTTTGATTTATGTTGATGACATATTATATTTTGGACATGATAAAATTAAATGTGATGAATTTGCTGAACAATTGGGTAAACATTTCAACTTAAAAATATTAGGAAAGGTAAACAAATATTTAGGAGTCCAAATTGATAAAACCGATAAGGGGTTCAAATTGTCCCAAAAAGATAAAATTATAGAACTCATACAAAAGTGCAATATGATAAACTCAAAAATTTGTGAAACTCCCATGTCAACCGACTTCCATAGAAACATGCACAATGAACACGAGCCATTCAAAGAAAACACTTTATATCGATCAATTATTGGGTCATTATTATACATATCTAATTGGACCAGACCTGATATCACCCTTGCCGTTAATTTGTTGTCAAGACATGTAAGCAATCCTAACTTATACCATTGGGAAGGAATCAAGAGAATTCTGAGATATCTGAAATCTAGCGTTGATGTATGTCTATACTTAGAACCATTCATTTCTGAAAAGCCAACTTTGACCTGCTACGCTGATGCAGACTGGGCTGGTGACCCAAAGAGCCGAAAAAGCACCTCTGGATATGTTTTTCTTATAAATGGTTGTACGGTGCATTGGTACACTGGCAAACAAAATTTAATTGCCACCTCTACAGCAGAAGCCGAATACATTTGCCTATTTAAAGCAGTCAATAACCTAACCTGGTTTGATGATTTGTTATCTAATATATGGGATGAACCTATTTATCCAATTATCATCAATGAAGATAATAAAGCAGCAATAGATATATCAGCTTCCGAGGCAATAGGCCAAAGATCTTGACATATCGATATCAAATACAAACATGTGAGACAATTATCGAGTATAGGATTTATTAAAGCTGTTCATTGCGATACTAGTGAACAAATTGCTGACATTCTCACTAAACCATTAGCAACCAAACAACATGTATATTTATCTTCTAAACTTAATGTACATATATAATATTAATAATTTACTATTGGTTAGGTATTTTAGAGGGGGATTTGTTACAATTGAAAATACCTAACTTGTTCTCTGTAAATATGTATATTTGTATATATGTTATTGTGTGATGTCATTATGATCCTTTTCATTGGTTCCTACTTACCTTTTGCCCCGCCTCCTCTGTATATAAGTCGTTGCTCCTGTCAGAACCTCAGCTGTCCAAATGTAATCCTGAGGAAGACAAGAAATAAATACCTTTGTTATAAGAAAGGCTTCAGTCTTTTATATTGGGCCTGACCTGAATAATTAAACAAGTAACAAATTGTACTGAAAACTTCATAGGGTGAATGGCCCAACTCACTGTGTATGACTGGCATCAGACCAAGAGTATCAACCATAAATTTAATACCTATGTCTCAAATATTTACTCCTAAGAGTTCATTGTTTGTGTCCCCACATGTCACTTCCTCACCTCTTTAATATACTTATTCATGCTGTCTATATCAGTATGATATAAGGTTAGGTGGGATTTAATATTTCTAGTGACATAATGGGCATGAGAGGATTACAGTATGAGTCTCACAAGTCAAAATTGAACCCTTTTCCAGACTTCGATTCTACATAATGACCCTGAAGTTTACACTAACATTTTCCCTTTGCAGGTAGGTGAGGCCTTTCTGAGGCACCCAGGACTTCATTAGGTGGATTTTCTTGCGTTTTTAACACATTGTTTGACTAAGACCTTAGTCATTACCTGGAACAAGGGGGCCACAGAGACTTTAGTTTGGATCGGGCCTATACAGATTCCCTGTGCACCAACCTCATTGTGCACCTTTGTTTTCAGAGGCCCTCTGGAGGATGAGGTGACAGAAAAAACTTCCAGAACCTATACTGTAGCAATAAGGATCATGAAAAACCCCTTAGATACATGTGCCTCTTGGTTGGTTAGGGGTTTCCAGAGAATGGGCATGTGGATGGATCTATACAGTGGTAAATGAAGAGAGTCTATGGCCCTCAAAGAGGTGGTGATACACAAACACACACATCAAGAGGCCATCTTTGGATCCAGCTGGTCTGGACAATTTTTATCCAGTCTCCAGCATTCCCTTTTTAGAGAAGGTGGTTGGAAAAGAAGTTGGCCTCCAACTTCAGAAGACCTTAATTTTAGTGGGTTACCTGGATACTTTTCAGTCAGGATTCAGACTAAAATGAGATGGGTTTGGTCCTGCTTATCAATTACTTGTGATTTGCTTGGGATGGGAATGTACAACTATTCTGGTTCTTTTATCTCAATGGCTCCAGATACCATCAACCATGGTACCCTTCTGCACCTACTTTGGGGGCTAGGAAAGAACATCTCTGGGGCTGTTTCAAGTCAGTATTTGTTGGAGAAGCTTACTTGTGTCTATGGACAGTACCTTATCTTCCCTACCTTTCAACACATACACCAAACCTGGACTATATTGCACAATGTGGAGTATTGCACATATGTAGATAATACCCAGTGATACATCTTCTCTGCCCCCAGTCATATAGGAAGCCATCAAAATTCTTTCCCAATGTCTGAAGGCTTTGAAGGTTTGGATGGGCAAATACAGCAAGATTAAATGGCTGTGAATCCTGGGTCCCACATATCCAGGAACTGAAGCATTTCCATCTTTAATTCTGGATGGAGTGGCACTGCCCCTTTTAGACTCATGTGTGATGTGAGAGCAATGGCAACTGTGATCATGGGGGCCTTTGTATAGCATGCATCAGTTACATCCATTACTGAATTGGAAGGTATTCCTCACGGTCATTCACATTTTAAGTCACTTCACAATTGGATTATTGCATTGCAATACACTCTACATTGGTCTACCCTTGAAGACCACTCAGAAGCTTCAGTTAGTGCAGAATGCAGTAGGTAGTTATTGCATGGGTAGTTATGTGTTCACCTCATTATAATCATATGAGACCAGGATTCTGTAAGTGGCACTGCCTCCTAACAGACTTCTGTGTGCAGTTCAAGGTGTTGTTTGTCACCCTTTGTCGTACATGGAATAGAATAGGGCCACTTTCTCCCAAGAACATCTGTCCCACCCCACACATTCCAATAGCATCCTCCCATTTTTCTCTTTTAAACATTGCCATCATATGGAACCTAGGAAGTGTGCTGTTTTGTTGCTGCCTGATTTCTGGAATCTCCATCCAATATGAAACCAGTGCCCAATTCTATTTGCCTATAGAAAAACTGTTAACTCCTGGCATTTTCCCCAGATATTTGGATCCAGTTAAATGCAGAATCAGATTGGTCTAAGAGTTAAATCACTAGGCTAGAAATTGGGAGACTGTGAGTTCTAGTCTCACCTTCACTCACCATGAAGGCCAGCTGGGTGACTTTGAGCCAATCATTTTCACTGAGCCCACAATGTCAAGCTTAAGCAACAAGCTGGCAGTCAGTCCCTGTTGCCAATGGGATCAAAATTCAGTTGATCTGAAAAATAATCTGACCCTGCACTTGTGAGAAAATACTAGGAAGTGGGGGTTGAATCAAGTTGAGTGAATCCCCTTTTGGTTGTCTAATTATCCTATTTAGCTGCCATATTGTATTTTATATATTGTTCTTTTTTAACATATTTTTGTTAGTTGCACACTAAGAGTCACTTGGTTTGAGTTAGATGGCCCTATTATAAGTCCATGAAATAAACACCTTGCCATGTCTTTTTATTGTATTTGCTATTTTAAAATACTGAGATTACATAATGTTACCTGCACCTCTGAATAGCTGAATTTCAATGTATTTTAAGGGCATAAGGTTGGGAAATCGTTGTTTTTTGTTCCCAATTAAACAAGGTCCAAGGACACATAACTGAATTTGTTCTTGTTTGTTTTATCCTCATTTTCCCCATTTCTTATATTCGTTTAACTCTTCTTTTCTCTCTCTACAGAGTACAGGTAGTCCATGACTTACAATCACAATTGAGCCCAAAATTTTTGTTATTAAGCAAAACATTTCTGAGTTCTGCCACATTTTACGACCTTTCTTGCTACAGTTCTTAAATGAATCACTGCAGTTGTTAAGTTAGTAACAAGGTTGTTAAATGAATCTGGCTTCCCCATTGACTTTGTTTGTCAGAAGGTCACAAAAGGGGATCACATGCAGGACACTGCATTCGTCATAAATATGAGTCAGTTGCCAAGCGTCTGAATTTTGATCATGTGACCCTGGGGATGCTTCAACAGTCGTGTGAAAAACAGTCATAAGTCACTTTTTTCGGTGCTGTTGTAACTTTGATCGCCACTAAACAAACTGCTGTAAGCCGAGGGCTATCTATACATGGAATATCAAATGCAAACATTTCTTGGGTACAATTTTATTTTGGATTATTTGAAAGAAATAACATGAATATTGACTGTGCAACAATAATAGAGTGATATCTCAGAGTGACTATGAAAGAAATGCCACCTACATTCCCTTGACTAAGTTTTGTTTCTAATGATGATGATTATTTCCTTGTAATTTTATTAATTTTTAAAGCAGGAATGCATTATGAAAGAAATGTGAAGACTTCCATAATTACTCTTTCAATACTTGAGAATCTAAGGATATAAAATCTTGGAAATACCATTGGCCATTTGGGCCGTCAAATCCCCTGCTAAGCATAGAAAATCAAATTAAACCATCCCATACAAGCTGCCCAGGTTCTGCTTAAACACCACCACTGAAGGGAGCTCAGAGTATTTTTAATTAGCTCTTCTGTGTATATTCTCTCTTATGTTAGGACATTTTTCAAAATGGAATCAAAGTCTATTTTCCTATAACTGAAATCTATTCTTCCACATCCTCCAATTTAAACAGCAGGTCTTTCTTTCAGAAGATAACTCAAGATTGTTATCACAACCCTTCTCAGTCTTTTCTCAAGGTTAAACATATCCGTCTCCTTCAATCTCTTTTCGTGGGATTTCATTTCTAATCTGATCGTTCTTTTTTCTGAAACTAATGCAGTTTCTGTAAATCCTTCAAGTGTAATACCTAAAAGTGGACTCAGTAAGTGAGGTGGGCTTTGCCCAAGCAATATAAAGTGGAACAATTACTTCTGTGATTTTAACACATCATACCACCAGCTCATGCTCAGTTTGCAATCAACTATAATGGCAGATCTTTTTCACAAGTGTAGTATTTATTTCCATAAGGTTTTATTGTATGTTTGACAGAATTTTCTTTTATCAACAATGTAAAAAAATACTGAAGGAAATTTTCCCAGCCATTACACACTACCTAAATCAATGATAGCAAAACTATCAGTGTGTCAAAGGTGATCCACCATAACATTTTGGATGACACACAAGTGTTTACCAATACCCAACAACAACTATTCTCCAAAGCATGCCCTATTCTATGTGATTTTCAGAAGCTGTGGAGAGGGGTGGGTTCTACTTACCTTTACTACCAGTTCACAACGGAAACACACGTGCTTGCTTGCTTGCACGCGGGCGCTTCTGCACAAGCGCAGATCGTCAATTATTATGTCCAGGTGGTTGGGCGGAGCCTCCAGCCACTTTTACTACTGGTTCTAAAGAACCAGACGGAACCAGGAGCAACCCACCACTGCTGTGGAGGCCATGCAAGAAGGGGATGTGCTCTCGTGTAGCCTCTGGAGCCTCTAAAAATCATTTGAGAACAGGGCTTCCGTTTGCAAGGTTTTCAGAGGCTGCAAAGGAGCATTCTCTGAAGCCACTTCAAAAACAAATGCCTTGTGCGAACTGGAGTAACCTCGGGTAGGGTGCAGGGGCTTGTCAACAGAAAGAGAACACTGCCTAAAGGTAAATGGCATGCAACAGATCCTAGGGAGCACTGAGCTGCAGGAATAATTGGGCCATTCCCCAAGGCTCACATACCTTGGGAACAACGCAAGGTAGCCTTTTTGAGTGGAAGCAGCGGCACTAGGACTGAAGTCAAAGCCCAGGTCTCCATTTTAGGCCTAACCTTGACGCTGTTGCCGAGCGCCACTGTTCAGAGTGGCCTACAACTGGGGGAGATAATTTGTTTTTATTTTATTCAATATGTGTGTGTGTGTGTGTGAGAGAGAGAGAGAGAGAATGACATGCCAGCAATTAAGTTAGGCATTTTCTAAATTTTTGACACACCAAACCCAAAACATTCACTATCACTAGCCTAGATCATTACAATAGAAAAAGTCATGAGGAAAGTTTAGTTGTGTTCTTGATACAATCCCTTCCCACACCACCAAATCAAGAAACACAAATTAAGTACTACATCCTGTCTCGCACGGATATCCAC